TCCCAACTTATTAAGTTTATAGTTATAAAATGGACCCGTAGAGCGCTTGCTGTAAACTATGATCTTGAGGAAACGCGTACGTCATGTTTGTTCCAGACGTCAGAAGTTCCATAGCTGTGCCCTCAGAGCAAGATTCTGAAGAAAGAAAAAGAGAAACAGAAGAGCAGCGAGGCACTTGGATATGAACGCCAAACATTGCTTAACATTTTGTAGTAGAACAGACAGAGGTATAATAAATTAGATTAAATTCATATTATCTCTTGTTAAACTGAAATGAAATCAGAGGCTCCATATAAGAGAATGTAGTAATAAAGAATATTGAGTTGTGATGTTTAACAAGTTGGAGTAAGCTCACATGAAGGAAGGAAAGTCAAGGTTGGTACAAGGAAAGCGGCTTATTAGAAGGGAGTGTGCATATAGAAGGTGAAGTGTTAAGTATACTTATAACTATATCTTTTATTGTATAAGTTTTTCTTTCTTTCTTTCGTCCATCCGATGCCAGCCACACAATCCCAGCGTAAAAGTTCGAGTTAGCAAGTTATAGGTTGTCTTAGTGGAATAGCTAATCCAGCATAATATTGGAAACGTGAGTCTGAGTGGTGAGCGTAGGAAGACAATCTATATCACAGATTGATTGACTTATTCACAATCATAAAGAGCCTGATACATACAAGATTTCTGCCCCACAAGCACGGATGGGTTGAAGTCATCGCCCTAACCATCAATGCTTGCTTGTGATGTTAGGTTCATCTAATTTTTTTTTGATATATGTCATATCTCACACAATCTTCTGTGTTTCACATCCTGTTGGAAAACACTATTTCTATAAGTACCTTTTCACAAGCTTATCAGGAAGTTACAAGTTATGAACTGTGGGTAAGGCATCGATGTAGTGCTTTAATTGACTATAGTATGAAGTATAGCTTGTCAGTCAGAATATAAGCATTAAGAAGGGTGTAATGTGGGATAGTTGTTTATTAAAGCAGGCGGAAAAGTATAGAATTATATGAGTTGTAGATGAGGTGACGTGTGGAGAAATAATATTAATTGCTAGTCAACATAGTGTACAGAAGACTAAAAAGCTAATAAAGAATAAATGGGAAAAAAACTCACATTAACTTGGTGCTGATGATATTTTGTGTTGTCATAACCAGTTGATGGGTAACAGGCTCCATAGATGCAAGACCAGTGGTAGTAGGCAGTCGATTGTGCGGTCCTCTTGACTTTTTAGGGTGGTAGTGAGGGTGCCTTGGCGACCGAGTTTAGTTGAACAGTATCGATAGGTCCAGTGAGTTATCTGTCTACTTCAAGTGAAGAAGTAGGTGTTATAACTTGTGACTGCAGATTGGATGGCAGCGAATTATCGATTGGACTAAAGACGCGTAAAACACATGAGAACAACCTAGATTCATGATTGGTCTCGCTTCCCTGTCTAGCCCGGCCAGTTGAGTCCAGAACACAAATCTCAGCCTCTGCAATATGAATCATTATATTTCAAACATACTCTGTTTATATACCAATCAAGCAGACCACAACGTACCATAGAATAGAAAATGACACTTGTACAATATTTGGCCAACAGGAAAATGACACGTGAAATAAATATTGACCAGTAGGGAAACGACACGTGAAATAAGTATTGACCAATAGGAAAATGATACCATCCCAAGTCGAAGGATAGCATTAGACTTGACAGAATAATTTTTGGGATATTTTTCTGAATATCCCAACAGTAGGGTGGAAAAAGTAACTAATATAACTGCAAAGTAGGAAAAATAAGGCAAACTGAACTTGAAGTCCATTTTGGTCTAGACATCTAGAGAGCCTATGATGTCCGAGTGGGGCGCAGATGCGTTCGTGCGTGCTAGATCAGTGCAAGTGAAGGCTTGATCAAGCAGTTTTACAAACGTATGCAATTCATTTTCCATGTGTATTTCGGAGGGAAAACTGTTAAATATTATTGCATGCTTGATGAAGATGAAGTTTGCCCGGCTTTTTTATATGTATTTCTCAACTTTGACCGTAGATACTTTGTTTCGAAGTTCGTATTCATGTGAATATCGGGCAAGAACTATATTACTTGTTGAATAAGTTAGGTTTTTGAGCAGTTTGAGGTAGAGAATCAAATTAGACCTAACCGTTCTTTTCCAAAGGGGTTCTATTCCTAAGATTTGGCATCGGGCACTGTTGTCAACGACCGATTCAGGTCTAAGCATTTTGTGGGTGAAGTCTCGTTGTATTCCTTCCTCCTTTACTACATCAGAATGAAGTCAAGCAATTTCCGCATTTTAGATGCTTTGGCTGAGATGTGTTCAGAGAAATTAAGACTGTGTGAGTAATGTACTGGTGCCAGTCTGGGTAGTGTGTTGTTGTTAAGTGTTAGTTTTATTTTTAGAGACGTATCTCCTATACATAATCATAAAATTTATTTTAAAACCAAAAGTAGCGTGTGTTTCGGTTTGTTAACTATTAATAACCCTTAACAATTAATGCATATAAACAGTAGATATTTCACATGAGTCTGATTACATCTAGAGCGTCACAGGGAAATGAAAGATATGTTCCTTGTTTTGTGATGGTAAATATGACCAAATATACATGTCATTATAAATCATATTCTCAAACAGTATATCTTGTTTCAATGCTCCTATTATAAACGGACCTTGTAAGATATCAGCCTAAATGAGTAACTTATTATGGAGAATCACATAGAGTTTGTGACGAGGCAACAATCTGTGGACGACATTTGAGAAATACTGAAGTGACTTTGAGACGACATATCCATTTGCTATGGCCAAATAAGTTTTATAAATTGGTATGATTAATCTAGATTACGATTTAATGTTAGAACTTGGTGTTAGGAATAAAAGTAAAGGTTTTCAGCACTAGCTGATATCGGAAATGATGCCGAAATACCATTTAGCTACATGAATGAATGGAGTTTGCACCAAAATTCATGACTCGGTATCCTTAATTCCAAAAATTCATAAACTATAGTTTAGCCGTTGTGAATATTACCGTCAATTTGAAGACTGAATATTTATTCTATTACTAGATTTATTTAAATCACACCCGAAAACCACTTTGACAATGCAAAAGCGATCACGTCATTATACACAAGCTGGTTATCCTCATACCACTATTTCTTTATTATTGGCTACACTGCTTAGCGTGGTGATCTCACATTCTCTAATCCTAGGCACATTACCGAAAAATTGGAAGCCGGCTCACGTCACACCGGTTTTCAAAAGGGGTCGATGTGGCGAACTTTCAAGCTACCTATCGGTAGCATTACTCTCCAAATCCTCAGAAATGATGGAGTTCCTGACATGTGGCGGTCTACACGACTAATTACTATCCACAAACTTCTTTTCACCACAACAGTACGGTTTCACAAAAAGTCGTTCTTGTATAACCAACTTTCTGACCATGGTGGACAGATCGACAACCATCCTTGGTCGCAAGCTTTTGATGGGGTCAACCATATATGTCATATCAATAAACCCAAATGATCAGGTATCAAAACACCTTTAATTGATTGGCTCACTTCACACCTAAGAAGTCGAAATTTAAAGGTCAGTATTAATTTCACTTTCCCTCAGGCTATATAATGTTCTATTGGAGTCTCCCAGGGTTCAGTACTTGGACCTCTTCTCTTCTTAGGTTACAGAATATAGGTGTCGTCGGATTTATAACTTTTCACTGTTGATGCGGACGTTTGGAGAGAATATTGCAACGAAGAGGATAAACTTGCATTTAAAGAAGAACTGACTCGACTTCAAAGTTGGGCAGACGATAACGGACTTACCTTCGACACTTCGAAGTGTAAAGCAGTCCATCTGAGTTATCTTACAGACTACGAATAAACTTAGGTGACTCCCTAATGGAGGTACCTCAAGTTGAAAATGATCTCGGAGTGTTGGTGCTCTTAGATCAGAAGTCTTACAATAACTGCGACAAAAATGCCTTCCAAGGATAACTTGCACCGGTGACCTTAAAGAGCATTTTCGGCCAGTTCGACGGAAGAACCTTCCACAAAATCGTCAGCAGTTTTATTTGTCACCATTTAGAGTACAGAAGCACAATATTTCCGTCCTCACTCCAAAATGATAAGGACACACTGGAACGCACCCAACGGCGAGCCACGAAGTTAGTTCGGGACTCGAAGTCAAGCCCTATGAGGAGCGCCTTCAACCCCTGAAACCTTACCCATTCGAGTACAAGCGTTTTAGAGCTGACCTTCTGATAACCTACAACATCCTAAATGCTCCTGGGTATCCCTTTGAACACCTACTTAAGGTTAGTCCCAAAACAAACATTAGGGGTAACTCTCTGAATGTGGAGACAACACAGTAGAACTGGCTGTACACACACCATCTACTCCTTAAGAGTAGTCAAGTGTTAAAATTTGCTGCCATCTGAGCTAGTGAACATGACTTTAAGAGAAATGTGACATGTTCTTAAGGACTAAGGACAGTGGCTCACTATGATTTACCAACTTCTTCCCTTTTCCTCTTTTATCGTCAATATATCTAGATTCCTACCTGTAGGCATCGGTGATCTACTGCCACCAGATGCAGAAGACTGTCCAGCGGGAGCTTCTTTTATTCCGTTCAGAACCATATGAACCGTTTTATCTATTACTTTTAGGTGGAATGTTGTGACTTAAAATTTCAACTTTGGTATTAATTCACTTTATCAGAGGCATCTCTGTTCACTCCAGTTTCTCTTTATTGTCAAGAAAACGCACTCCTTTGTTTATAAATACGCGTTCAAGTGTATAAAAAAGCACCTTTTGGATAACATACGTTTCTATCCAAATACACTAAGTAAGTTTTATCATGTAACGGGGAAATAGATATTTCTTTGATTACTCACTTAATCATGAACAATAATTCGCTACGTATACTTTGCCTTACATGATTAAACTTAATAACTTCTCATATTAATTTACTTATGATGTTTCAAATTGAAGCTCTGGTGTATTTTATTGGTCCTTTAGTAAAGTTGCGGCGGGAAATAAAAGTGTTTACGTGTCTTTGAAAGTTAGTTTTGTGTGACTGTATTCACCCACACAAAGCACATGTGTTAGTTTTACCCTTTCAGCAAATAAACACAAAACCCTCTTAAAAAGATATGTGTGACTAAATTACAAACTTAGGCCTAGTTATTAATATTTTAAGATTTGTTCTCTTGGCAGCTAAATGGCATCGCCTCTGCCTCCAGTCGATATTGAACAGCAGAACATTATCGATAAATTGGCTGAATTTGTGGCCAGAAATGGGCCAGAATTCGAAGCACTAACAAGTGAAAAACAGAGGGACAACCCAAAGTTCGCATTTCTTCGAGGTGGCCAGTTCCATGAATATTATATGTTTAGAGTTAACGAAGCTCGTAAAATTTGGCAGCAGCAGTATTCAACGAAAAATAAATCGCATCAGGTTGGAGTAATACTTTTTGATAATTTTATACCAGGGTTTATATGGTTTCTAATACATATACGTGGTCAGGGGGGTTGTTTTGTATGCGGTAGATTTGTCATTTTCACGAAAGTATCTGTCATAGGACCAGGCTTAAGCATTCGCTTTTTTGCCGGTGCTATATTCTTTGGAATTGTACGTCACTGACAGTTCAGGGTCGACTTTATGTACCGAAACTAAGTAGTTATGGTTAGATAACACATTATCCACAAAGACCGCTGAACCCAACTTCTGGTTTTTTTATTTTCACAACTAATCCCAAAGCATCAAGTCTTCAAAATGGCTCGTAATGTTGACTTGGTTATTTGCTTTTAGCTTGCATATCAAAGAATAATTTGACAGGAACACCAGATAGATTAATACAATTATCAATAAAATTAAGGTTACTAAGTAAATAAATGTGTATTTGTTAGCGTGAAAGGAGTTAAATTCGTTGTATCTATACACAACAACTATTGCGAATTACAGTACTTGAAATTAGAAGGCCAATTCATGTCTCTAAAGCCACGTTCACTCCCTGGTTACACTTTTATTAGACTCCAAACTTTACATCCACTAAGGAGTAAATAAATAGAAGCTTCATAAGGCCATATACAAAAAGTATGATAAGGGGGATTCAGGGGCAAAATATACATGTGATAATGGTTCCTACTTTAACTAAAGGATGGAAAAATTAAAAATGATAGAACAATCAACCGCATTAATAAGTTACTCATTACTTATACCAAAGTGAGGAGTAAGTGCATCTCGATAATTGCGTCTAATTATGGGCCATATTTCTTAAAGTCCTTGTATATGACCCAAGTTTAAGCACCAGAGTTTCAAGATTTCTGTCACCGGCTTCGACCCTACTCTGCCTACTTTGGTTTTAACATTAGTAATATATCTGATCTCCATAGAACGTATCTAAAAACTATGCAATTAAGTCCGAGTTTGTCTTTCGAGCTCTAACGTGTTGTTTAGTTTAATTAATCAGTTTTTCGACCATCGACTTTTCATAAAGACCGACATAAATTGTAGGTCCATAATACGGCTGAGATGAACGATCTAATAAATCGGTACTTTCACTCAATCAGTAACTGTATATTTTTGTCCGTTTGGTAGAGTGCACTCATCTGTCTTCAATTTAAAGACTTTTCTCTCGTAAACAGTAATTTGGAACACTTTTTCTAGAAATCACACAACGACTATGATTGTCATAGGTCATCCCCAACGATATTAAGGCTTGGTTGTTATGCCCTATGCTTGCCGTCATAGAAGAAATAGGGCATGGTACTAATTTCTACTTTGAACGTAATTCTTGCGAACCAGCTGGTCGCCTGAACGAGTCATAGTTCAGACTGCTAAATAGTAAGATTTCTGACAGCAATATTGAGGCGTTTAACAGCATTGTTTTTAAGGTAATAAATATCGGTTGTGGAAAACTATCAATTAAATTTCTAGCTATATCCATATTAGATTTAACGGTTTATATAAGCTCATATGTAGGCAGATAGACCCCAGTGTTTAATTCCACATTAAGTGCCTTACAACAGTTCATATAAAAGCAACAGATAGTAATAGTGAATGACGATTATATTTGTTGAGGGGTAAATAAATTACAGTAATAAATTCTGCAGTCTTGTACTTCGTGTCTTTACAGTTACTGATAAATATAAAGCTAAATAACCAAGGTTTTGTAGTGTGGCGTCGAGTTGCGGTTGACTATGATCACCACTACAAGGTTGCGTACCAGATATCAGAAGGCGATTGGAGGTTGTATTGAGATATATTTGTCGGCGATCTCGTGGTATCGAAAGAATATCGAGATCGTGCAAAAAGAGTACAAGCGGAGTCACTGAGCAAACGTAAGCGCGTGCAAGGTCTCAATAAACAGAAGGAAGAATGTCTTTAGTACAGTCAAACAAACAAGTACAGTAAAACAATCACTGGTACAATTGGTTATAACAATAATTGTTTCCATTAAACTAATCTCGTTCTCTTGATAAAAGCAGGTCACTATAGTTTAATGGAGAAACACATGTTAAATGATCTAAATAACTTTGTTCTGAAGAGGCAGCTTACGCTAAGTTGCGAGGCGTTAAAAATTTGATTTTCTACTCATCAGGATATTGCATGTATATCAACAGTTTCACTAATAACAACCCATTCGATTCACAGTTTATTTGGGATTATCAGGTCAAACGTTGGTTATGATACCTGCGAATGTATTCTTAGTTCTGAAGTCTGTATGTAAATGTATTTCGATTGTCCCTCGGCTATTGTATGAGTGAATATTCGCCTTTATTAATTAAATTCACACATCCTTCCTGAATGTCTTTTGTACACTTAGTTTGTTTCCTTTATCAGCGACATTTGTATTTTCTGGTCTACTACCGATACCTTTCAGCTACTAAATAATTTTGCTTCATTTTTAAAGTTAATCAAAATTTCTTTTTTCTTCAATGTATATGAATAAGAAACCAATGACCTTAAAGCGTGTGTTCTTAAGAACTTTAACTAATTACGTACCACATTTAATAACACTCTGACGTTATAAATGCATGTATTCGCCGGTAGGGGTGTGGTCATGCGTAATAATAGATCCAGAAAGACCAATTGGTATTTAGTTCCGATTGATTACAATGCCTGTCGTTGTTAGCTTGGCTTAACGGCCTATTCTATCTTTCTGTTAAGATTCTCAATTCCAGATCCAACTGGGTCAATATGAATGAACAATGGGATCAGTATGGTGGAAATCCAGATCATTGGCAGCGTTATAGTTCCGCACCACCAGGGCATTGCGGATGGGGTGGTCCAGATCCATCATGGTATCCAAAGCCACAATGGCCACATTTTCAACAGGGTATACGAATGCATGGCGGTCAACCTGAATATCCATACCATCCTCCTTCGGAAGCGGTAGATTCTTATCGCCATGGAAATTATAATAATCATCCTCCATATGGTTACCCTGGACACCATGGAGCATTCCCGATTCAACAGTTTTCGTTTGGACCTGAGACTTATCGTGCACCGAGACCTCATTATGATTACCAAGTTCCTGGTGGTTCTGAACTAGGAGAAGCTGATATCGAACAAAGTGAGAAAAATTTGGCTGCTCAGCATGAGTCGTTGCTTGCTCGTCAAAACGTTGAAATTCTCGAGCTCTTAGACAAAAAGAGAGAGGAAAATGTTAGGAAAACTGGAGAGCAATTGAATATGTCTTGGGAACAGATGAATGAAGTTAGTAACCTATTTCCCGTTTTTATTTGACTTATGGTAGTGCCGAGGTGGGAATCGCATTAATCCTATTATTATTACTATTATTATTATCGTAAGTCTGCATAATGTTTTTCGTCTACGTTAAGGAGGCCTAATAATTGTATGAAACTAGTTTCATACATAGAGTCTCGTTTTGTTTCTTTATACATTTGTATGTAGTTAAATCAAACGTATTAACAGAAAAGTCCACAAACATCTCATGATTACTTATTTACATGGCTTGCAAACTAAACTTTAGGAACTAAAGTTTTAGAAAGTGGTGTGGTATAAGTAGGATAAATTATGATTTCCTAACTGCGTACACTATTTTTGCTGATATTATTGACTTGTGTGTCGCATATAACACACAAAGACACACCATACCCCAGTAATCAAACTTGGTCAGGGTATCGTTTAGAGGCCCTTGATCACTTCAGCGCTCAAAAATACAAAACCAACGATTGCTACGTTATCATTATTGTGGTCGAATTTCCATGTCATTAGCGGACATTTAGTGTTTAAAATGCTTGACTTTCAACTATTGGGTTTAAAATTCAAATCCCATCCACCTGCTTTTACTTGGTCAGTTCGTAGTGCTTATGCAAAAAGGTGGTCCAAATCTGCGACTAAAAGACCACTTTGTTGTTGAGTTGGGATTATTTTATTTATTTACTACTGTTTCATCCTCAGATCTCGCAGCAGTTAGATGTAACCTAGTGTACTATAAACCTCGGGGCTTGTGAAAGTAGTTTCTTGGGGCAGATCAATCCTCGTTGGGTGGTAATAGGTAAACGTGTTCTAATAAAAGTAATTCTACTTGGTGACCTAGTAGGGACTATTATCGTAAGCTTCTATGCATTCATTTACGGATCTGGATTCCAGAATTTCACTCTCCCTCCAGTATATTGATGAATGTTTAGTGCTTTTACCAAATTAGTGGTGTACTTACTTCAAATACGGAATGAAGCTCCAAAATCAGCTACTGATATCTCCTTTATTCGAGAAATGTCACTTTACATGTTCGTCAAAAGCTTCACCTGTATTTTAGGTTGTTTTCCTGATACCCTTTTACTGTCGTTTTTTTAATAGTATCCAATTCTGCGTGTTTATTATAGTGATGAACCGTAAGCGTCCTTCGTGGTGGGTGATATTAGAAAACTACTTTCATTACTCATGTATCTATATGGTTAGTGGTGTCATTTCGTACCACCAACTACTGGACCAAGCTTCTTAAGTAAATTCCCCCATCACCATCATAGGATAGGTACAAAATGACTTCTTAATTACTTTTCTCCCTTGTTTTATCATGGTACAAATGACCTTAAATCTAAGTGTGAATAGTTGAGACAACTGTTATGAGATTACAAATTGTTATAAGTGGATAATCATTAATGTCAATTGTGACAATGTATGTCGAGCGTTCACATTTAATACTATGTAATTTATTTTAATATACATTGGTTCACGTCATGTTTCAATTTAGTTTTAAAATTTCACAAGGAATACGCCATTGAGTAAGTATGATATTACTATGCTCCAGTTTTTAGATGCATACTAGTCAGTTGAGTGTACTATTAAACTGAAACTTGCTAAATCTGAGATTTTTTAGTAGAATACATCAATATAAGTGGATATTTGGAACATGATAATTAATTCCAAACGAAAATTTATTTATAAATGATGTTTTGATTTGCATCAAATCTGTATATTTTTTGTTTAGATGATCCAACCACTCATTGAAGCCTGTACAAAAGAAAATATATCTAAAGGAAAATCTTGGGTTGTTGACAAAATGTCTGAGTCACCTGAGCTAACTAAGCTAATGTCTGATTATCTAATAACACGTGCAAGTGCTATTAGTGTTACATTTGACTTAAGGCTCCACTTGGTTTACTTGTTAAACGACCTACTTCATCATTCTAAACGTCGTGGTGCTCCTGTTCATCTGCAAGTATGTTATTATTAAAAGTTGGAGATAACTTACAGATTTATATTCATTTTGATTAGTCCTAAAAGATTCTGTTATCACTGTGAAATGTTATTTACACACTCAAATTTACTTAACAATAATGTTTAGCTTACTATGGTTTACACTATGATTTTGATTTAAGAAGCCTACTATCTAAGTAATTCTAATTACAATAAATTTATCGTATCATACGATGTAACATTCAGTTGACTTGGTTATTTTAGAACGTATAATAATGTTGGATTTTCTTAGTTACTATAAATCGACAGACAGAAAGCTAAATATCAGAATACATCGAATAGTTGAGAATAAAGGATACCAAACAAAAAAATATCGTCGTTACTAATGTTAAGCCACATCACCGTAACATCAAGCCAACAGCAGTTTATTCTTTTGCGGACCTCATAAGAAAGGTGTAAATTATTGCTTACTATTAGAGTAGATAGTTACTTGAGGAATTAGTGCTATTCTACCCATTTATCACACTGAAAGGTTTCAATTACTTACGGAATGACGCCAATATGAACGCTGTTTATTATCCGTATATCATTTCTGTTTTTTTTCACAATAGATTGTGCGAAATATTTACGTATGTCGACTTCTCTGTGCTTTTGTTCCTAGGCAATTATTGTAACACTAAAATGTCCTCTCTACGACTAATTAGCTTTAAATTATTTTCTAAGATTCTAATTCAAATCTGTAGATTATCACCCATTAACAGTTGGTTCGCAGGTTCTGTAATTCTTGTTTATACATTTCGGAGACTGATAACTTATTTGATTACATTATTATGATAGTAAAAGTTTAAGTTATTCTTATTACTCACGTGCCTAAAGTACATATCCGGGTTTCCGATGATGTTTAACCTACTGATATATGAAATAGCTTCATATCTAATAGCTTATATGATGGGTTCACTAGTGTCATAGTTGGAAAATCGCTCGTCAGCACTGTTATAACCGGAAAAATGACCTTGTTACCACAGTTGTAACTGGATAGTCAACTGTTATATCTGAAGAGCCGTCACTGTTATGTACGTATCGAGTCCATTGAGTCTTCAATCTTACTGCTTTTACTTAATAATCGAGAACCACTACAATTTCTGGATCCTATTGCTTATACCGGGAAACGAGGACCACTACAATTCCCACGACCCAGAGTGAGAACACGAAAGATTGGTGAAATGAAGGTTTGTTGACTCCTCCAAATAAGTCCCAAGAGCACACCATCCTTAGATTAAAATTTAATCATTTATGTACTAAGTTTTGCACACAATGTTATATACAGTATGTTTGAAATACATGATTCATATTGCAGAGGCTAAGATTGGTGTTCTGGACTCAACAAGCAGGGCTAGGTAGGGAGAAGGACCGATAAAGACTCTAAACTACTCGTACGGGTTTATGCGTCATAGGTCTGGTCGACAATTAACTATTCTCTAATTGGCAGTATCATTACGTTATATGTTAATAGAGCACAAGGCTACATGTTATAACACAATAATATCACATGGGAGGGAGAAATACTTAAGATTACTGTAAAAACACAATAAATACAGTTCACTTGAGTTAATACAGTGAATAAAATTGTCACACTTGTCATATAGAACAGACTTTGTACAGGTTTAATACGAAAAGATATTGACCCAAATTATGTCATCTCATCCTGTTTTATCAAATGTATAATAACTATTTCCTAGTCGGATCTTAAAAAGGTGGTTAACTATGACTCCTTAATATCTACGTACATGGTTGATACTGTTGAGAAATAGCAGATATGGCGTGAGATTATATGTTCGCCCTTTTGAAATCGATTTATTTGATTGGTTAGTTATCAAACTATACTGAAAAAGATATTGGTTGATCTCTCATATGAATTTCGTATTTACATAAGATCTTTGTTCTACGAAAGACTTATTTTTTATAGATAGAAATAAACCAGAGCGGTGACTCCTAGGTAAAGTGCTTGATTTCCAAACATTGTTGCAAGTTCCAACTTAATTCGACTTAATGAAGTATAAATGTCAGGGTAGTATCACTAGTTTTCATACAATGTTTGTAACTTAAAGTTAGATAATAAATATTCTCTTAGCTTCTGAGTTGCACTATGTTGTGGCAATGAATTTAACTCATAAATATATTCAATACACACTTTATTTCGATATTTATCTACAGGAAGCTTTACACGAAACAGTGCCGGTAATTTTCTGCCTAGCGACTGAGATTGCAGATGATGAACAAAGAGCCAAAATTAATCGTGTTTTAAGCTTGTGGGAAACCAACTCTTATTTGCCAGTCGAAGTTTTGGTAAAGATGCGACCTCCAGAATCAGGTAAATTCTTAGCGGAATGGAAAGAAAGTCAGTCAAAGGTCAGTGAGTTCAGTATTTTTGTGCTCCGCAAAATTTCATCTTTTTCTATAGAACAGTATGATCTTTTCGTAATTTTCGGACACTAGGATATTTTAATCTACTGAAGACTTAAGTGTTTTGTAATTGAAACTCATTTTTTAAGTGTATCGAGAGTTAAATTGACACCATAACTGATACAATAGAGTATGTCGATCCAGAGAAATTAGTCCTTCTGGAATATTTTTTCCTCTTAACCACCAAACTCCGTTAGTATTTTGTTTATCACATGCTGGGGTGTTTACCTTATAAATGCCTAGTTTACTAGGAGGGAAGTCTGTTCCACCGTCTTGTTCATGTTGTGTTATTTAATGTCTTATAGCGTAATTCACGAATTCGTAGAGTGAAAATAAAGTTTATATTGATGGTATAGTGATATTTGTCTCTGCATTATCGGCGGATGGAAAGTTTTAAAAAGTTGAGGACGATAGTAACATGTTGGTTTATCGAACGGAAAAAGAAGTATTGAAGTTCCTTGGTAAGATAACTTCCAATTCCATGGTTCCATTCCAGGATACTGTCTCATCATGCTAGTTATTTAATAACCGGTAAATATACCGGCTGGATCTTTTGAATCTCAATGGTGTGTGACTGCCTTCTAAGCCTAACGATTTAGGAGTCGTAGTCGAAAAACAGTAGTAACCAGAGTGATCGATACTGAACTTTATTAAGCATTTATGCTTCAGGAAACCAAGTCTGTCATAAAGCCATTACTTTCGTTATTATCTTAATGTTGCTCATCGTTTTCTCTGCTCTATCCATAGCGTTAGTCCTTAAAGTCATTAACTTCTAGTCTGAGCCATGTTAGTAGATGCAGACTACTTGGTTGGAGTCTGCGTGACTATCGTAACCAATGGTTGGAGACTCTGTGTGACATGGCTCAGAATAGATCACAGTGGCGTAGGCGTATTCACTTTTTGTCTTCCCTTAAATCGTGAGATTAAAACTACTTTATACTTTTCTTTCTAATTCTTTCCTCCTGTACTATATCCTTATACACAATATTTCTCTTATACATTACTACCTTTGAATTAACTAATTCTATGAATCCGGTGTCCATCTTGCTGTGCTAATGAGGTATGGCAACTTGGACCGATGCATATATGTGCCTGGTCCTACGTTGTAGCTGACTGACTGACTAACTCTATCCAATAGTTTACTGTGGTTTGGACTCAACTATTATGAAGACGTCTCATTTCACCCTTACAGTTCTGGGATATGCACCAGTTCATAGATTATTTCATGCATTCAGAATCAGACTGTCAGTCGATGTAGATGATTAGTGAGTAGTATCTAATATGTATTAGCTCATTATATAACTACAAGTTTTAAAAGGGTTAATTAGGAGCAACACATAAATGACTCGACTGCTACTGACTGACTGACTCTGACTCGACTGGTAGTGTTCGAGTAAAGAGCCTTCACAAGGTTTATGTACTTCTGAGGTACACCTTTCAATGACAGAAACTGCCACAGAACCTCTTGGTCTACAGAGTCAAATGCTGCCTTTAAGTCAAGTAAGACCACCATTGTCGGACCCCGATAAGCATGCCTGTGTTCTGGAACCTGACGAGTGTTGAATATTACTCTTTTGGTAACAATTATTTCCCTTTGTCACTTTACTTAATATTTAGTTTGAGTTTCTCATTGAATAGAAAGTATTATACCTGTACTAAAGACCAAAATCATAGTTCCTCTCATCATCCGACAATTGATAATGCTAGTTTTTTTCAGATGACTTTAATTATTAAGTGAATTTATTTTCTAATGTATGGTTTGCGTAAGTGAAGCAAGTCCTTTTTTCCAAATTATTTCTGTAATAAATAACATCCCCTTATCCATTAAATGTGAATCAGATCTGTTACTGATTCTGCAAGTAGATTTTGGTTTCTAGCTATTAATATTACCTAAATATACCACAGTAACCTTTTTCATTCAGTTTCAATGTTGATTACTTCTTAGTGTGATCAACCAAGTGCAACATAAAATGATCGTTATTGTTAATGATGAGATGTTGATATAGATAATAATAATTACAATATATTTAAAAGCTCACTCATTTTACGGTTAATCGCTGATCAAAACACCTAGCTAACACTACTCTTTTTCTGTGTATAATGCTGTATTCTGCTGTTCTATATTGTTGTGTGCGGTTGAATAATACTAACAATTAACCCTTATTTAACTTATGAACTGTTTGATCAAAATATTCTATTCGAACTGTTATTCTCTCATTAAGTATTCATTGAAGGTATTGTGGTTTTGCCTAAAACTGAAATAGGAAAGTTTAGCATTTTTTATGTCAAATATCTAGACCGGGTATTTCTTACCGTCGACATAGTCTTTAAACAAATAACTTTAAAAAACAACAAACTATTAGACCTAGACAAAAGAGAAACTGAACCCTTTCGTCATGCATATAATCACCGTGTTGACGAAGGAAAAGGCTAATTATTTGAATTTCATCTAATGTTTTCTTACTGTATTTTATACATATCAGCTACTCGAATCATTCAATCAATTGTTATTTACATGCTTAAGCACATATCATTTAGTATTCTTTGTATTTTCATTACTACGAGGCTTTTTGTGTCTTTTCTTCACAAAACTCATCTTAAGCTTTCGTGTAGAACCCACTAACAAGTACTTCATTTTACCAAGTTTTCTTGTGGTGTCATAAATATTAAATAATTGAGTTGAAGCCCAATACCTTTGTAGTAAATGATTTAATAGCTAAATTAATAGACATTTATAAAACCAATCAATGAAAAGTATGAGACTAGTGAAGGAAAACTAAGTGTTAAAATAATCTAACTGTTATCATTTATTATGTTTGTGGGGACGATACATTGATATGCACAACTTGATCTGTCAGTTGCTATTACACATTACTATTGTATAAGATAATATCCGGTAGATTACGGAGCCCAAAATGGATATTTTTAAGAGTATGGTTTATTTTCTTTCAAGCTGTTCATGTTTGCCTGTTTGTTTGTTTTTTCTTCAGCCGTTTGAAAGTGAAATAGACAAAATAAAAGCAAATATTATGAATCAATACACTAGTCTTGAGCGACAACATCAAGAGTTTGCAGATCATGTACTACGACAGTTAGCTTCGTCACATTCCGATAAGTCTGATGAAGCATCTATCTCTGATAATCATCATTCCCAATATGGATCATCTCATCATCCTATGCAGGTTTGTTCACATTAGCACTATGTATTGTACTTTATCATATATATCCATGTATGTGTACAAAACATTAGGATTAGTACTAGAGGCGAGCAGGAAGTATTTGTGCATGTGGACAATACTTAACAGCCGTTTATACTACAATTGTAATTCCTGCAAAAAGATTTAAGTGAAATAGTTTGTTAGGCTTCGAAGTGGTCTGGGACTCCGAACAAAAAGCACTGTCAAATATAATGACATTGACGTTGATTTCGAAGTATTACTTGTAAAGCAGAATTAATTGTTGCTTCAACTACTTATGTTTGAGTGTTTGATGAGGTTTTTGTCAATGTTAGACTTGCTCATATCACTTTTCGAGGAAAATTACATATAAACTTTTCCAGAACATTTATAAAATATGCAACATATAAATAATAATAATAATAACAATAATAATAATTATAGATATTTCTCAAACATTTGTTAACATAGACTGTACCTATTATATATTAGATTGAAAGGATTAATTCTGTTCATGGTCTTGCAAAAAAATTTATGCTACCCAGTTGTTATATAATGTTGTTTGTACTTATTATTCTCTTCCCTGGTATTGTAACTAGTGAATCTATTATTTTCGTGTCCAAATCATGCTTTTTTTGCAGCTGAATAAAATCTGTCTATAATCATCATATTACATACCATCTAATTTGATGGTTGGTCTTTTATTTATTGTGATGAATAAATAAATAATTCATTTGATTTAGACATTTTTTTCTACATACTAGATCTTCCATGTTCTACTTCAATGTGTAACCTATGATTTAGAGCACCCTATTTTACAAATTGATTTCGTATAAAATAAAATTTATTTTTATCCTAGTATTCTTTATTTATAGTGGCATAAAAGTTGATTCATTCCTAATGAATTAGGAGTATGTATAGACAAATTATATTCACTCTACAATCATGTTCCTTTCTCTAAACGTTAATTTGAAGAATGTCTGTCGGTAGTACTGTGTAGATACTCAACTGTCAAATTTTTTCTAAGTAATTTGAGGTTATTACTCCTCAAAGAACAAATATAGTTCAGTTTCGTACTCATAAATGCTGTGATCTCTCATATTTGAGCAGCGTTTTTTTACCTTGCTACCCCAAACTGATTACAATCATTTTAGATATTGTTCATTAATAGTAACTTGAAATATCTGGAATATGCCTTTAATAAACCATTTTATACTTAATGTTTTTACGCTTTACATATTTTAATCTAAGTAGTTTGTAAGATATAGTCTATAGATGATGTTGTCTTTAGTGTTGTTATGTATGTGTGTTCTTTTGATTGATTATGCTAACGATTTTATGCATCATTTATGAACAGAGAAGTACCTTTATGAACTATTATTCTCGGTAAAACTTATAAGAAATAAAGATAGGTCAGAATTGTTTAATCCACCCTACTGGTCTCTTATCACGTTATTTGGAAATTTTCAGTCACCTTCAATTAAAGTATTCTACAAAGCTGAGCATATTTATATACAGTGTCCAGTTGTTTGACTAATTAAGTTGTTGCAACTTCAAAGTTATCCTAATTATGACTTTTAATTTGATGTTTTTGAAATGTGTAGAGCTGTAGCTTAGTATTTGATTTCTAACCATCAGTTTGCAAAAGCTGACTTGATTAGGTTTTGCTCGCTTCCTCCAAAATGAGTCTAATTCTTAATCTGTTTTAGAAAAATCCTAAAAGCAATTCCTCGTTTACGTTTATTTCTGTCAGATACTTTTTATTGTCATTTAACATTGCTAACGGTTTGCTGTGAATTCACTAGTGAAACATGAGCTGTCAGTTTTATTTTAATTAAGTTTAACTTTCAGTATTTTAGTAAGTTAGTCACGTTTAGAATAACTTTGTACTTATTGGTGAGTTTTAAATAATCACTGATCGGTCCACTCCTCATTTGACTTAAATATTCAGATAGGAGGATATTTATCATTTAATTGTTAACGCACTTAATACCTCTTGCTTCCAGAATGTTGATCCAAACTTTACGTACTGGGGTCCACCACCACAGACTACTGGAGGATTCGATATGCTTCCACAGGATATGATGAGCGGGTCAGATCCAAGAGATATGCAACGTCGAATGCCTGGTTATCCCCCACCTTCACAAATGTCAGGGTATACAGGACCTGGTGGTGGTGGGGCAAGTTATCCTCCTCAAATGGGTTGGCCACCTGGGCAGCATGATTCTGCAAAATGGAATCAATCTGTACCTAACTACAACTCTCAACCTGGACACAAAAATTTTGGTGGTCATGAGTTAAGCAGCAATGTATATATTGAAGGTGAAGAACCAGAAGATGAACAATCTGTGTATCCTAATTCGTCTTATGAATGCGGTAAATTCATTAGTAATTTGTGTTTAGTTAGTTCTAGTCACAATCTGTATTTTGTTTTATTTAAATGTTACTTCTGTATATATTTAATAGTTAGTAGCTTTTATACTACCGTCAGGAATAACTTTAAGTATTACCTGGAAGGTGTATATTATAGATTTGTCAAAGGCTGTAACTTTGGCCTGTAACCTATCCTTCTGTCATATCATAGTTCTACTATTAAATCTGACTCTTGGGCGTTCTTCAATAAATCGATTCTCCTTGTATAGTCTTTAGAACTGCGTGGTATGTACTTGGCAAAGATGAACCAAACTGTTTTCAAAAAGTGATAGCAAGATTTATCATTCTATCTCTAATGGTTGTTTCAAGATTTAACTCCAACCACTTCAATAGAAGCTTAACCAGCTATTTGCAGCTTTGATTTCAGCTATTTTCGGTATGAGATAAAGGCACTGATTTTTAATTCATATCAAGCTATATAATTCCTCTCGTTTTTCGTTCTCTAAATATCGGAATTGAATTATTGAGATGATTACTGTTCTTCACTTGTGATAATTGTTGGAAGAGTCCCGGAAATATACCTTGTCAAAATCTCCGGAGGCCCAGAAATGCCAGGAAGTCTTCAGAGAAACATCTAGAAAATGTAGAGTCACATGCTAGTGTTGATTGGATGTTTACCCATACTACTACTATATTTATTATGGTCTCGAGAACTCATAGAAGCTCTAGGTTGTGTGTAATTCTGCTATGACCCTTGTTTTTCTGTTCATAAACTGACCTCATAGTAAAGCTGTTGCTCGCGGTTCGTGCTTGCTCTAGTGTTTCAACTGACTTGTAGAAGTCGGGGATAACCGAACAGGATAGGAAGACAGTTTAAGTGTGTCGGTAGCAAGACTTATCAATAAGTATTGGCTGGTAAAGAAATGCTTTTCTACCTCCAGCGTATCGAAAAATGGGGGAGGAATTAAAAAGGATATCTAATTTTCACGTTGACCGTCCATCTTCTGGAAGCTACTCGCTCCTATTCAGGCGAGGTATTAGGAAAGTGCGAAATATATAATCTAGTGGCTTAGTTATATTTTCTGAAGGATTTTAACGTATTGATTGCTTAGATTGTGTACACACATTAAATTATTGGTTGATTGTTAATTCTATTCATCCAAATTTATTTATTGGCCGAACATTTAAAATGATATATTTCATTATTTTGGATGTCGTTTTAAACACTGGTTGATACATAAATAAATCCTCACGTAACATTCTTACTTTCTTTATTCCACTGACCCATTTCAGTTTTGTTCCACTCAATAAGTAGCATAAAAAACTTGTTTTTCGGCCAATAGTGAACAACCATACCAGTAGTAGCTATCAACAATTTAAGTATGATATAACAAGCCAATATTTTATTTATGAAAATCCCGGCTCTAAACCACTGAATGATGACATTCTTTAACATTCTCAATTCTTTTTATGTAGTTGAGCGAAATACATGACAAAATAAAAGACGAGATTGTATTTGAAGTAAACAATAATATATACACGTATGTATAGCACGAAATATAAGTGAATAGACTTGGTTTCTTTTATATTGTCTCAGTCTGTTCATTCAGTTACAACATTCATCTAGGGAGTTGATTCTCGATTTGTTTATAAGGAAATAAAAGACAAGTTAGTTACATAGTATATATATATATATATATATATATATATATATATATATATATATATATATATATACATGGTAGCCTTAAATGATGATAAACATTTCATTAGAGATACTTCAAATTGATGTCTTTGAATTTTTTCATGGGTTCTTATTTCTTTATAATCTATTACGAAAGTGCAAAACCTGTTTCTTGATTAGTAACCCATTAACTATCTTATTGTATATACTTCCTTCAATTTTGTCTCATGCAAATTATCTTAAACAAAAAATGTTATCTTTCGTCTAACTAAATTTCGTTTTATCCCTAATTATTATAAAGGTATATACTATATACATTATGTGCTATGTACATATTGCTATATATATATATATATATATATATATATATATATATATATATATATATATATTCTTTTTCTTTTATAGGATCTTATGGAGGTTATTATAATCATAACAATAACGATTATCGACAGTATGAAGACTCTTCTCATGGTGTTCGAAATACACGAGACAATCAAAATAATCGTGATGAGAAACCTCGAACATTTCGCGGTAGTCGTCCTTCACGATTTTCCTCTGCTCCATCTCATCCTGAGACAGGTAATGAAAAGAAAATTGATCGTAGTGATACTGGAAAAAATACTGTCAGTATGGAACAGCAACACATAGCACCTAAGACTGATCTAGAAATGCCAAAAAATTCAGAAAATTCTATGATACCGGTTGTTGAATCTTATGACATAAATCAAAAATTCCCCGCTTGGCAATTACCTGCAGGATTAGTACATCCATTAATTCGATTAAAAGATTTTGATTTTACTCCACTGAATGAAAACAGTTTGCAATTATTACCTCCAACAACACCGTCTGAACGTTTGCTTATGGCATTGGAGAATTTTTACATGCCACCTACCCCAGATAAACCACGTGACGGCGAAGGTTGGGAACATATGGCTCTTCATGAATTTTATACGAAAAAAGAACGCGCTCGTCCTTCTGAGCATAAAGAAAACGATGTTAGTCAAATTTTTTGTAACTTGGAAATTTCGCTTAAAATGTTTTGTAATTAGATGTTTCCAATTTTAATATTTACTTATTTCTTAGTTTGAATAATTACCACTTGAGGAAAATATAGAGGTGACTATCCTTTTGCACTTAATAGATTTTCTCCAAACGCTTATTTAAATAAAAAAAACATTATTTTCAACAAATTCACACCAATTTCTATGATTATGAATTTAAATTAACGTTCAAAAGGGAATAACTAAGTTTGGGACAAAATACATCAAATAAATTAATTTTCTATCTCATATTATAGTCTAACTACCTTTTACTTCAAAATTCAATTTATAAAAGCATAGTGTAAATATTGAATTTTGTTCTATATTCTTAAGACAAACTTTTTCCTTTAATTTTTACCCAAAGAATTTTCAGCTGTAATTACACTTTTGTGTGTACTTGTGTTGTGTATTATTGAAGCCACTCGTTTATTCATGGCTCAATTGCTTTCTTTTAGATTAAATCACAAACTCATAACAATACAATCAATTAAATAATATTTTCAGAAATTATGGATTAGTAAAATATTTCTGACATTTTTATCATTCATATTAATCAGTTTATCGTTTCCACTTGAATAGTTTATATCACATTGACCAATATTATTGTTTGTTCGGATGAGTTTAAAGAATTATTGGATTTAATTAGTAAATAATGTATTGATAATTTTTATTAAACAGTTTGTAGTCGATTTTCAATCTTTTAGCAAGGTATCAAAAATCAACATTTATCTAATGGCAAAAGGTAGATTGAAACATTCTATCTTTAGTTGTAAAGATAAGCTGTTACGTTCAGTATGGTTTGTATATTTTGTGTTATTAATTTATAGTCTCGTTCTTCTGGGTCGTTCATAAAGTAAATGTGCTATACCTTCTAGCACTTAATATATGTATTGTTCTTTATTTCATTTGTATAGAGAGACAACACATCTACCAGTAAAGCAAAGTCAAATCGACGCCGTCAACATAGTGGAGGTAGTTATGCAAGTAGTCATTCAGAATATGATTTCACAAATGAATTAGTTCCAGACCTTCAACATGACACAGTGGTTGACGTTGAAAAGCCGTTTTCACGTGACAATTCAGATAAGGAAGGTCCCCTTGGGCCATCACAATTATCATATATAACATCTTATCCCAAAGTTGCAGTAGGTCAACCTCTCAGAACTGGCCTTGAAGCACTGACCTTGGCCCCTCCTCCTATGCAGTGTATGCAAGGACAGCTAACACATAATTATAGTGCTTATAAAACAGCTGGTATTCAACCGGGTATTCCCATACCTGTCCCTCCATTACCAGGTTTACTAGGTGCCATTCCACCTGGACCAAGTGGATTCCCTAATACAAGCTTTCTACAATTTCCTCCTCCGGTCAATCAGCCACCACCAACCCTTCCACTGCCTCAAGGTTTGATTCAAAGGCCCCCACCAGGATTTTCTGTTGACCGTTTTGAATCTCGTGGGTCGCGATCTCGTTCTAGGTTTGTGCTAAATTTTAAAAGTTTCTAATATATATCTTATAGAGAACTGTTAGATATAATGCCTATATAATTCATTATATCAAATCGCTTTCAGTAGGTTACAATAAGTATACTTTATTTACTGAAGATTATTTAATTATTCCTTACACAGTTTGCTTCGAAATTCATCTTTTACAGATCTGATTCACGTTCAAAGTCTCATTCTCATTCTGCGGATTCACGTTCTCGTGACTTTCGTTCTCGTTCACGATCACAATCTAGATCTCATAGTTCTCAAAGTAGATCTCAGTCACGCTCTGATTCTCGTGATTCTCGTTCCAAATCTGTGTCACCTAATAATGATGATGAAACTGGTAGCAACCAGTCACGTGGCCTTTCAAGAGATCGAAGACGTAACAGGTTAGTTGTGCTTGCATTTCATACCTGATTTCCCTATGCTTCCTCCGTATGCTCAAAGTATTAGTAGTATACATTCTTTCTTTTCCTTCATGTCTTTCTGATCTTTATGCCAATGTAAATTGTAGTATAAGAAGCTTGGTGTATTCTGTTGTTAGGCATACTTTTTTTTCGATATTATGGTTGTCTAAATTATTAGCATATGATAAATTACGCTTTCCGTAATTAAAGACATTTGGTAGTATTACTGTACAATTCGGTTGTATTTAGCTTGTATGTAGTCTTTAAAAATATCGGGCGAAATAACAACGAAAGACAAGGTAGACAATTGGGAGAATACAATTTACATTTCTAGGAATATGGATTTTAAGCTCAGAGCTTGGTTTCGGCAGATGGAATTAATAGGACGAAACGGCCGTCCAGTGCTTCCAGGTTTTCCATGGTGGTCTAGCTTCAATTGGCTTATGATTAAAATTAAGAAATTAAAATAACAGGATCTTGGGACGTATTTTCAGAAAAATGCATATTTATATACAGCGAATCTATTTTGTTATAAAACTCACAATTTTCATAATTTCCGTAGTAATTTAGGTGTGAACAATCATCACTAGATGTAAAAAGGGCCATACGAGCTAAACAGTTAATTCTTCATTGCTTAATATCGCTTATACTTCAAATTACTTTCTTTTTCTTTTTCAGATCACGTTCACGAAGCTCAGGTTCACCGTTTGCTCGATTCACTTCAGCTCCTGGACCTGGTGGTTTAGGAGCAGCCGGTGGAGGCGGTAGCGGTGGGAATATAAATGCTGCTCGTGCTGCTGCAATAGCAGCTGCGGTTTCCATAGCTAATTCAATCAACGCACAATCTGGCTGGTCCAATAACAATGTTAGTAATAGTAACAATACTAGTAATAATATACCCACTAACGCATTTAACAACCAAGGCTTTAGCGGGCCTGGTCTTTTACCAGGTGGTCCGTACGCAGACACCAATAGAATAACCTACTATGGCGGCGGATTTCAACCTGTGAGTCAGTTATATTGTTGATAGTATAATGTAGTTTCTGACTGATGTTTTTATAAATCCGAAGGGTGTAGAGCAAAACTGCATGTCTAGTTACTATAAGTTTATTAAATCACTTATAGATAATTTACGAATAATTTTTGAAAAAAGCTTACGAATGAACCCATATAAATATACATATATATATATAAATATTTCAGAACCAGGGACAACACAATCGTGGCGGTGGTGTTGGCGGCGGCGGTTCACGTGGTGGTTACAATTCCAATAATTTACCAGGGCGAGGAGGCGGTAATATGCGATATCATGGGTCGGACGATCGCTTTTATCCACCTCCACGCGATCACCAACGTCGGTAAAAATGCTTTACTTGTTCATGAGATGTTTTCGAATTATACTCTTTGACTTTTGCATTGTTTCTATTAATGAATATCATTCATGTGACTGTAAATTCAAACAATCTAAATACAACTATATATTGTTTGTTATGAGTCGTTCTTTCTGTTTTCCGGTCAGTGAGAATAAAGTTGCTATTCAACGTAATGTTAAATACCATGAGAATGGTTATAATATACTGTTTGTATGAAGTTTTAATATATAACGAGCAGCTAATGTTTTGCATCATCTTATTTCATACTGAAAGAGTTTAACCAATAGTGAAAGGTTATTTTTACCACAACATGTTTTAATATGCGAGTATATGTCTAGTTGGTTAGCATAATATTGTTGTTGAGTTTTAAATGAGATCATGAACCGATCATTATTAGATCACCATTGAAAACCTGGAAGTATTAGACGACCGTGTCGTCCTATGCTGTCCAATGCTTCCAAGTTTCCAATGGTGGTCTAATATTGATCAGTTCATGATTCCAATTATAGCATCATATTGTTGAATTCACAACGGTCATTGCTAAAAATTTGTCAGGTTGATAAATCCAATACTTCACCATTCTACAGATGTAATATTAATATCAAGCAGCAACTTTATCATTGATGCACTCAACTTTTAATCAGTACGTCGCAGGTTCACAGTAGGTCATACATACTTGTGTTTTTCAACAATCTGGCTAATATCACTGGTTGTTACATAAATTGTATAACTCAAAGCCATTTATATCAACCTGTACTATGTAAACAAGTTATATCATCATTTTTATCTCATTATTACTTAAGGTGCAACGACTACCGATTAGAGTTATGATGAAAAGATTTAGGATCTGGATTGGTAAAAATAGACGACTTGACAATAATTCTGTTATTTTCTTAGGGTCCCTAAAACACTAAACTTGTATTCACTTTCCTTCTATTTATGTTATCTTGAGATGTTTTGTTCCTGTTTTTTATTTTGGGTCATTTTAGCAGCACAAACTTTACTACGCCTGTTACCTTTCGTGGATGAGCATAGGCCACCCATTAGCATTCTCCATCCAACTCTGTCATGGGCAATCCTTTTTATTACTTTTTATTTGCTATTCATACTTTTGATATCTGCTTCCGATTCCCGAGGCAGTGTGTTCTTTAGTCGTCCTCCTCTACTTAATCCTTCAGGATTTCAAGTTGGGGCTTGCCTCATGATGCAGTTTGGTGATTTCCTCAATTTGTGTCCTATTGACTTCCAACGTCTTTTCCTAATTTCCTCCTCATATGACATCTGGTTTGTTCTCTCTCACAGTAGACTGTTGCTGCTGGTATCCGGTCAACGGACGTTGAATATCTTACGTAGACAATGGTTTACAAATACTTGTATATTTCGGATTATGGTTGTAGTAGTTCTTCAAGTTTCAGCTCCGTTAAATAATATTGTCTTGACGTCCGTATTGAAGATTTTGACTTTGATATTGGTTGACAGTTGTTTTGATTCTCAGATGTTCTTCAGTAGTTGGAATGCTAGCTTTGCTTTGTCAATCCTTGCCTTCACTTTTGCACCAGATCTTCCCTGTTTATCTATGACGCTGTCCAGGTACTTGAAAGTTTCCACCTCTTTCAGTGCTTCTCCATCGAGTTTGATTGGAATTGTGCTCTCTGTGTTATCTTTGAGGAGCTTGCATTTTCCCTTCAGTATGCTGAGGCCTACTACTTCAGAGGCCGCTACTACGCTGGCTGTCTCCACCTGGATTTGTTGATGTGTATGAGATAGATGAGGTAGCTCATCTGTGAGCATCCTTGTTTTGCACTGATCCTCATTTGCAATACGTCTGCCAGTTGTCCTCAATGCACCACTTTGCAGTGTAGTCCGTTGTATGGATTCCAGTTAATGATGACGATTTTCTCAGCTAGTCACTCCATAGTTTCGAAGAAGGTTCCATGATTTTCTATCCACACTGTCAAATGATTTTTTCATAATTAAGGAAATTGATGTATAGTGACGAATTCCATTCAATTGATTGTTCAACGATGATCCGTAGCGTCGCGATTCGGTCTGTGCACGACCGATCCTTACGGAATCCGATCTAATGATCTCGAAGTTGGGCGCCCACTGAGTTTTTAATCTGGTTCATCAACACTTTGTTGAAAACGTTTCATGGCACTGATAGTAGTGTGATGCCTCTGTAGCTAAGTTATCAAACTGTTCGAATCTCCCTTCATTTGTATCTTGATTAGATAACTTTCTTTACAGTCTGTCGGCACTTGTTCTTCCTCCCGAATCTTCCTGATTAGAGTGTGAAGCATGTTTGCAGTTACTTTTGTGTTTAACTTCAGTGCTCTAGCTGGTATATTGTCAGGTCCTGCTGCTTTCCTGCTCCTGATTTGTCTGTTGGCCATCCTGGTTGCTTCGATTGTTGGTGGAGTGACATCGATAGGAAGATGTGCGCTGCTTCAATGTCCGGTGGGTTCGGCGGGTCTTATCAAGAGTTCTTCAAAGTGCACTACCCACTGTTTCCTCTATTCTTGAGTCTCAATGATTGACTTGATTCATTCGTCCTTGACTGTTTACTTTGGTTCACTATATTTCTCTGTCAATTTCTTCATCGTGTAATATAGTTGTTTCATATTTCCTTCTCTTGCAGCTTTCTCCACTCTCATTGCTAGATCTTCCACGTATTTATGCTTGTCAGTTCTCTACTTCATTGTATGCATCAGTGTATTCAGCTTGTGCCTTAACTTGCTGTGTTCTCATTCGGCTGTTGTTAATTGCTGTCTTCTTGTTCTTCTTTTCTTGAATCAAATACAGGGTTTCCATAGAGACCTATTCCTTATAAAAGTGCTTCTTCAGGCTTAGAACCTGCTGACACATTGAAGTTAATGCTTCACTGATCTCTTTCCAGTTGTCCTCCATAGTAGTTTCTTCTTCCTTCAGTAGATCTTGTAAGGCTTGAAACCTGTTGTTGAGAGATATCTTGAATTCGTTGAGTTCGTTAGTATGTGGAAGGAAGGCTGTATTGAACCTTTGTAGTGCTGATTGTCCAGTTGTCCAGTACTTCTTCAGATTCAGTTTCAACATGGCAATCATCAGCTAGTGATGATCTGAAGCTATGTCAGCTCCTCTCATGATTCTCACGTCTTCCATTGTCCTTCTGGACTCTTTAGTGATACAACTATGACCGATCTGGTTCTTTGTAGAATAGTCGGGGAGACCCATGTAGCTTTGTTTATGTGTTCGTGTGGGAATATTGTGCCTCCTGTAAATCTATCTCCATTCTCGTTATTTTATCCCATTCAGTCCATTTCGCCTCATTATATCTTCATATCCAATGTTGTCCATTCCAACTTTGGCGTTTAGATCTCCCATCAGGATGGTCAGGTCGTTTCTCGAGCACTTTGCTAGAATGGATTGTGGCATCTCGTAGAACTGATCTTCATCGTCGTCGTCGTTACTGTCATTGGTGTGTGCATAACATTTGAAAACATTCATCGTGATTACTTTCTTCTTTGTTTTGAATGATGCTTTGATGATCCTGGGTCTATGTGATTCCCATCCTATAAGTACTTTACGTGGTTCATTGAACGGCATCAGTCCAACTCCTTGTGTGTGCAAGACACTCTCCTTTGTGACCCGAGTACATCAGCATGTTTCCCAAATCTCATCTTTTCTACTCAACTTGAGTCGAATGGGTTTCACTGATTACTAGAACTGCCAAGTTGTATCTGCCCATTTCCGTAGCTATTTTACTGGTTTTCACGATCTCACACATTGTCCGAATATTCCATGTACCTATGATAATTGTTTCTCTGGTCGTTCGAAGTTGCGTCGGCCTCGTGACTTCCGAAGAATCTCGGCTTTCATCATAAGGCGTCATGATCCTTCTGAATGAAGATCCTTCAACTCGGAGGACAGAGTTTAAATGTTTTAATTTGTTCATTCTGGTTAGCGTGTTTTTAGCAATGTTGTTGTATACGGGATGTGGCTGCTTACTCGATGCCCAACCCTTCTTGTTTGCCTGGGCTTGGTACCGGCAGTAAACCTAGGAGGGTTGTAGGCGGAGTTATGTTACACCGAAGCAATAATTATTTACATAATTAATTTGGTCAGTCGCATGACATCGTGAAAGCATTCTGTACAGTTATTAAACTGTCCTTCATTACATCAGGTCAACGAAGCTTGTCTGCAGGAGCTTATAAGACACATGGCCAATTTTATGGTAGTCTTTTCTCAAATGGGACGACATGCTGATTTGAACTATTCTACCAATATTAAACGAACAGTAAAGCGACTGTCGCGAATTATACAGTTTAAATGGGTGGAAGTGGTAGTAGATTTCTTGAAGTGAGTAATAGAGTCCAATTTCGACGACTGGTTACAGTTTTTAGGAAAGATATTGTCCGTCTGTTACCACCATTGTCTTCAAGCACCAGAAAAATGTACACAAATCCATCTAGTTGCATTAATAATTGCCTAATTAACAGAGACTAGTTGCAACATGAATTTCCCGGAAACTCTAATATAGAATCAAACAAATGGGGAGTTCATTCACTCAAAGTATCTAATGAGGATAGCTTGTATGTCACATACTGACTGAAGTTGATGATTCCTAGGACATTGAAATATGACTCAGTAGGCTGATGTGATCATACTTGGCACTAAGCTCAAATGTCATGAATTTGATTATATACGATTTCATATTTCCACACGACCACGGAATCAGGAAGAAAAACTTTCCAGTACTCATTGGTGTTCAATGACCTTATCCAACTAATATCAAGTTGTGGCATACCTTTCATTCGTCTGTTTTTGTAGCTTTAGTTTGTAGACTGCTTTATTGTTATTGTCTCAGTTCCCATTGTTACGTTTCTTTTATTGATGCTTAAACAGGTATGTACGTCATGTATCGTGAATAGTTCCAAAGACTCTTGTTATCTGATAAGGAAAACTATTTATTACTATTGTATTTCACCATCATGATCTTCATTATATTGGATAAAATAGTGACATAAAATTGTTTATTTTCCTTTGATTTCTTAAGTCTTTCCTTAATCTGCGATACATCTGATTACATTAAGTCAAATTATGGTAAAAGTTTGTGTGGTTGGTTGTTTGCATGGAGAGTTAGACTGTGTGTACGCCGACATTGCAGAAGCCGAACAACAGGGTCAGTTTAAAACTGACCTAGTTTTATGCTGTGGTGATTTTCAAGCTGTTCGCAATCCCAGTGATTTAGCCACAATGAGCGTTCCTTCCAAGTATTACCGCATGGGTGATTTTTGGAGGTATGTAAATGCATCTGTTTTATTTTTCGTCATTTAAACTGATGTATTTCTTATGTTACAATCACGGGAAAATAATCATTAGATTACTGTTGCTTAACAACTAATACAAAAGAATTAAATTTCACAGCATTGCCCAAGCCAGTATCTAAGTGGATAACTCGATGGCGTTTCAAGCGAACGGTACGGGGTTGGAGTCCTGTAGTAGGCATCAACTCTGGGTTGCAGTTACATCCAGATGACGAATCCCAAATACGACGAAACGCGCGTCCTGGATTCTACTGCTAGCCACTGTCAATCTCTACTTATAGTGCCTGTGTTTTTATAATAATATCGAAGCAATCCGCATAGTTTGCACATATGCCAAAAACAGACTGACCGATTGCAGTTTTAAACATCAATGGAAAGATCTAAACAACCAATAGAAACAAACGTTGCTTAATCTTTTAAAATGCTTCGTAAAAATTGATGTTGTTCTCTGTCATTAACACCTAAAGTTATCGGTGTACAGTTTTCTTAAATGGAATATATTTCAAATTTTTAATAAAACTTGTCTATCTTACCCACAATATTTAGTCACCTGTGTTTATGATACAGTTATTATTAACCCATAACGGTTTTAACTGAAAAAATATTTATTAGATTGCAAATACTTCAGGTGTTTCATTATATGTCAGATGTTCCCCGATGAATGACATATGTACCTACATACTCCTGTGAAAAGCAGCTCTTATCATGTCCCTCAACAAACGAAAACACGGAAGTACGATATGCCTGATGCTTACCTATTCTGACAACTGGTCCATCTTCTATTTTCTTTATTATTTCTATAATTTATATCTCTATTGGTTGATATCATTCATGTAGAAATATATATATGTAGGTATGCATGATAGTTTTATTTATAGTATTCAGTGGATAAAGTTTCTACATCATGAGTTTTTTGTGCTTTGCAGTATAAATAATTATATTACCACACTTCAATGCACAATGCATCTAAACTAATTCGCTGTTTAGAATATCATATATCCTTTGTTTCTCTTAGCGATGTTTGTATTGATCCTGAATTCATTTTTGAAGTCACATTAATCGTACTGTGATTTGCTGTAGTCCCTATGAAGTTGAGTCTTAGTGTTCTCAGCACTTGACTCATAAATATTGAATGGAATCCTAAAGGTTCATTTGACCTACCTCGGTTATACAATTGAGTAATAGCTTTACAGTTGATTGGTTTGAATTTCCAAACTCTATCCCATCTATTTTGGTTTGATTCACCGGGTCGTATCATTAGCCTTCAAACAATAACGTACGTGTGTGTACCTGAAAGTACACTTGGTAGATATTAGTTATTTTAGTAGACTTGAGAAATTCATACTATTCTCCATTCATAATCTTCCTGTTAAGTGAGCTAAAATAAACATTCCGAAAGTTAGTTCTTCCTACATAAGAACTACTGTAATTCAGAAGCAATAGGCTATCAGTTCAAATTGCACTTAAGTGTTAGCAAAAGAAATAAATTGAGTCGCTTTTTCGTAATTCTAAACTTTCTTACTAGTTAAGTAGTTGTATAAATCTAGTGGAATGAAAAAAATCATAATTTGTAAATTATAAACTTCCATGTTTGTCTTCATTCCATTATTTTTCAAAGGTATTATGCTGAAGAAAGTAGAGCTCCTGTTTTGACATTATTTGTTGGAGGTAATCATGAAGCATCTGGTTATCTTCAAGAGTTACCATATGGTGGTTGGGTTGCTCCAAACATCTGGTATATGGGTAAGTTCATTTTCAATTGGTGAAGAAAATGCATCTCTGTAAATCGTTAATTTATTTATTCTAATACTTGTTATTTTTATCTACTAGATGTGAATGAACAATTTGCAAATCTAATTATTTTAACGAGTATCTTTACTATAGATGTGTAGCTTAATATGGTTTTCATAAGTCGTTATGTAATTATTAAATTGCATAGTGTTGATATTAGTGAATATTTATCTGCAGTGCGCATCCACGATCCCGCTTACGGGATTCAAACCCATGTCTCGCACGCGAACGCTTAACCTCTAAACCACTGAGCTGGCATCCAACAGTGTTAGTGTCTAACTTCAACCAATCCATGAAATTGAGCGACATATCCACCATTGTTTTCAGTGAGTTACTATCTCACAACAGACCTAGTTGAACTCCGCTGGTCACGGCTTCTCACTAGAACTCCAGGAAATATCTCTTGAAGCCAGTCATTAGTGAGGATATGATTATTGTTATCAGAAATGGATTTTGTGGAGATTGTAGTAATTTAATAGTTGAATTCATGAGTCAATTAAAGCTAGATCAACATGAAAAACTTAGAACCACTTGACGGCCGTTTCGTCCTAGTATGGAACTCCTCACCAGTGCGCATCTACGATACCGCTTGAAGTATTTTCAGATGGTCTAGCTTTAATTGACTCATGAATTCAATTATTGGATTACTACAATCTTCACTAAATTCATTTCTGATTATATCTAACTATTTATTCGTGCTTATGTTTACATTCCTTATCAAACAGATTTTTCCACCTTAATTATTACATGTATCTACTCTTTATTATTAATTTGAAATTTTCTTTTCTTTAAATGTTGTTATAACTTATTGCATGGGTGCCCTGTTAGTGTATAACGTGACGATATCGCCAATTAGAGAGTAGTGAATTATCGATCGGACCAATGACGTATAAAACCCATGCGAGCAGTCTAGAGTCCTTATCGGTCCTGCTTCTTGCCTAGCCCAGCCAGTTAAGTTCCGAACACCAAATTAAGCCTCTGCAAAATGAATCATTTATTTCAAACATACTGGGTTTATATTACCAACCAGACAGACCACATCATACCATAAAATAGGAAACAACGTTTGTACATGATTTAGCCAAAAGTGACTATGGGTGTGGGAGGCAGTAATTAATAGACAAGGCATAATTCAAGAATGGTAAATCATATAACAACAGTTCATAGGTCAAAATAAAGCTCATAATAAGAGGGACATGAATATGAATAGTTTAGTTATTTAATTATTATACGATAAAAATATACGCATAGTATTGGCTCATAAATGGATCCTAAAGTTACCACTCATTATTCTTATCGGGATATAACAAATGTATTGTCTCTTGTTTAAATATTATACTGAGAAAATAAGTATATAATAATTCTTTTTTTTCAGTGAATACATCATTCATTATATCATTTAATATTTTAAAAGTTTTATTTACTCTTAAATACCATTGTGGTGTGGGCTACTTATATCCATATAAGTAGTATATGACTGTAGTCAGTCATAGAATGTATTTCAGTAGAAGATCGAGATGGAAAGAACAGAAACGGAACGCAATTGGTATGGAAATACATGAACAATGAAATCTAAGACAATGGACTGGTATTTGCAAAGGAACAGTCAAATTTGAGACGATGGATTGATATTTTGCAAATTAACTATTTACTATATGGTTCTCAAATTTTATTGAGATACCGTGTAATTTCATGTCAAATACATTCGATTGTCCCTACTCGTGTTTCTGTTCATTACACTATCTTTATTATAAATTTCTGTTTAATACATTTTACAATTGATATTAATAATTTTATACTGAATATTTTAATTTACTACTTGTAATTTATCAAAACTCTTATAGTTTTTTTTATTTAATTTAATATTAATTTTTAAATGGGTATTTATGATTAGTTTTAACTTTTTAATATGTAATAGGTTACTGATAAAAGTATTCAACTCATTTGTGACCATAGTAATGAAGAAAAATATTATTATTATTATTATTATTATTATTATTATTATTATTGTATCATGGATTTATCAATTTTTCAAGTGTATTTTCTTATCACTTTTATATTGACTAGCTAATTAAATAGTTTTGAACTATGAGTTCAATAATAAACTGGAGACATTAGTAGCATAAGATGACTTTGGATTTTTCCAACAAGATACAATAACTTGTGTTCATAACTTGATTTATAACATCTGACCGATTGATTTCAACTGTCAACCTTAATTTATATATATATATATATATATATATATATATATATATATATATATATATACAGAGCTATTTGGTAAAATGTCAATACCATACGTTCAATACTTCATTTGCAGAATGCCCAGCGATTGTCTCAAACTTTATTGTTTCTTCATTTCCATATCAAGCACTGTTTATTCTCCTTCTTTTCTATTCGATCTTCTTAACCTTCTGCTGCCAGGCATTTCACTTTCGATTGGTGTTACGTACTACTTATATCCGTCGACTTAAATAGCACACACTACAATATTCCATACATCTCAGTTAACCTTTTGTTTTAGGTAAATTTATGTTATCTTTAATTGGTCATATATATTGGTAGTTTTTTAAGTTTTTAGAGCCTAATGACGGATTTAAATACGAAGTCGTGTATAGCATTTAGTCTAGCTTCTAAAATTAAGTTCTTACAGAATCATTATTCCTAAATAGCGTAGGTGTTTGTCCAATATAAGCATTAAAATAATTCCATAGTTTTTCGATTGTTCTATATTTCGCTTTAAGAGGCTAGTACTATGTCTTTTTTCGTTTATATGAATAATGCCGATTCGCCCATGCAGGATTTCGTCCATCTTCACTACCAGTTAGAACATCAGAATGCTAATTGACTATCATGTATTAATATTATTAAACTGAAAACCCATATGATTATAACATACATATGAAACAAGTCGACAGCATGGCATGCATAATAAATTATAGTTTTTACATAATTATGGTCTTTTTGGGACAAAATCTGAGTAATAGGTGCACAATTAATTAAAAGAAATCTAGAAAAAAGAACAAAGGTAATAACATACTACATATTAGTTATTAGATAAATATATATTTAAAATACATCTGGTAATTCACAAACGAATGGCTTCCAAAATTTCCTATTTCCATTTATTTGCCTATTCGTAACAATCCCGAACACAGACTTTATCTTCCATTTGATTACATCAGAGATGTTGCAAACACGTGGTTTCTGTATTACCCTTTTTTTCAAAAGACCTCTAATATACTATAAAAACGTACGTAAGAAATGACGTTCTTTTTGTTCAATCGTTTAGATGTGTGAATAATATTTGGAATCAGAATATGAGTTAACTGTTTTATTTTATGTATGCACTTATGGTGAGTTATTGCAAACTCTTGCATTTTCTTGGGATGTTACAAATACATTTTGTTCTAAGCTAATTAATTTTCTATTTAGTAAATGAGCTGTCTTCGCTGGTTTAGCGTAAACTGTATTTCTTGCGATAGTAAGGTTGATTAACTTTATGATTAGAAACATATTTTATATGAGAATATCGGGTAATCTGGTTTGATTGTTTACATCGAAAGCTGCAGTTGGTCACGTATAAATATCCCATGCTACTTATTTTTGTTTATTGTTTCTTAGGATGTTATTTGTATCGTGTTTTCTTATTTTACTTTTATAGGTTATGCTAGTGTTGTCCAATTTGCTGGATTACGTATTGCTGGTTTATCAGGTATATACAAACAACATGATTATACCATGTGTCATTATGAACATCCACCATACTCAGAAGCAACAAAACGTTCTGTATATCATTTAAGAAACTTAGAAGTTTTCCGACTTGGACAAATTCGCCGACGTTTAGATATAGTGATGAGTCATGATTGGCCTCGGGGGATATATCATTACGGAAATTTAAATCAATTAACCAGAAGGAAACCTCATTTTCGTAATGAAATCGAGTCAGATTCATTAGGCAGTCCACCCGGTGAACAGTTGTTATGTCGTTTAAAGCCACGGTATTGGTTTGCAGCTCATTTGCATTGTAAATTTTCAGCGCTTGTTGGACATTCAGTAGGTTGATCACCTATATTTATTTATGTTTATATTCATTGTTCTAAATAAAGTTCAGTTCAGGGATATTTTTAATCTACAAACTGCCATATTCATTATACTCTGTCCTGAGTTTTGTTGGAAGAAATTTCAATTTGATTGAGTTTTCTCTCTAATTTCTGTCTCTGTTTCACATGCTACTCAATTTATTAACTACAATTTAAACTGAATCAAAAATACCAGGATAATTTATCTCGATAGCTTTTGTAGTCGTTTTTAAGAATACAGTTTGTAATGTTCATCGGACTAAAAGTGCTAATACTGTATGAATAATTAGATTCAATTACATTAAATCCGTTCGTTGGATTGATAATTTGTGAGGCTCTTTTTCAGTTTTGGCGTCATATTGAGAATTAAATCCACGAATTTCAATAAAAACTAAAATTCAACCGACAAGACATTATTTATACTACTTATATGGGTCATATTGATCACTAAATCTCCAGTTCAGTCATCTTAGTTCTTTAGGTCTCTCATTTCGACAACTGCACAAAGTTCTCAGCATTTACGTGGAAGAAATGTGGCCATGTTATTTCAATTCCCGTTCAGTTGTGACGATAATCTACCATATCCATACTTTTTAATTGTAACCATCACTTCGTGTTTGATAGTTTAACTACTGACGAAACTATCAGATTACGATTTCGTTTTGTAAGCAATCATTCTTTGACTGTGGTTATTAATTTTTTTGAGTAATCTCTCAAATTACAAATGTTGCTGAGTCGAAGTACCACCTTAGATATATGAAGAATAAAAAATATTTTAAACGAACCACCCAGTTCAATCAGATTATTGAGGATAAATTTTTGTATGAAAGCTCAACGACTTTGAAATCCTTCTGTAAATTTCTTGTTTTTTCATACTTTGTTTTCGTGTGATAATGCACTACTATTGTTCTGTTTATCTATGAAAATGATTTCTATCGTAAATATGGCATCAAAACGAACGTATAGAAATTGCCTTTAGAAATCTGTTGTGTATAATGACGGTGAATAAATAGTAATAATATTATTTCTAGTATTGAGAATGGTTTCAATGGTTGGTGTATTATTTATAAGAATTAAGATTTCTTCTTGCATCATATGTAGTCATAGAAATGACTTTTGAATTTCCTGAATTGGAAAAAGATTGTTAGTTTTCTTTCTAACACGGGATGGATCCCTTTTTGTACGAAGCATCGAATTAAAACATCCATGGTCATTTTCTTAACTTTCCATGATAGGTCAGCTTTTATTCAACTAAAAATTACATCCATCTTTCTTCTACGTCCATTTTCATCGTTCAAATCAGCTGATTTCTCGTTCAAATCAATGATACTCTCATTTAAATAACTTTTACATATTCTCGTTTACCACGTTTCTTTTACAGGACTCTAAAACTAATAAATCACGCATCACTCACTTTCTAGCTCTTGATAAGTGTTTACCGAATCGTCACTATTTACAATTCTTAGATATTGAACCTGAACTGAAGTATGATGAAAGTTCAATTAATTCCGATTCTAATTTATCTTTATCTCCACAACTTGGAGATGATCCAGTAATTGTCAGTCTTTCTAAATTCAAATCAAACGTCAACGATTCAGAAAAAGACTTAAAATTGAAGGAGCCTAATAACAATGCTAGTTCAAACGATGAAATAAATACCAACTTATATCTTGATCCCGAATGGTTATCTATTTTGAGATCAACAAATCATTTAATGTCTACTAGCAAAGTCCCCTGTATTCTTCCAGAAAAAGAAACAAGCGAACGGTTAGTGAAATCATTTTATTAATTTTATTGGTGATGTATATGCTGATAATTTACTCATTAGATTCCATTACAGTTCATTTGCTCATGCTATCATGACACCAACCAATGACTAATTTCCTTATTATGTTCTTATCTATAATAACAAGTATTCTAGTCAGTTTAGTTCAGCTGTCACTTCGATAAACAAACGATGAGTACTTTGAACCTTATCAGTTATCATCTGTATTCCATTATATATATAAAGTTCATTAGTTTTATTACATTGGTTATAAAAATTTTTCCCAGCGACTCATCCACCTGTTCTAAAGTCTGTTGTTGACTTATGAATTATTAAACTGTTCACATGATATTAATGTGCTTTTCATACTGTTGACGTTAAATGTGTTGTAAAATATTAGATCATTATTTATGAGTTTTCATAGGATGTCATTACTTAACTAATCGATTTGTAATCAACGTTTTTTCATTCAGCTGTGATTTTTCCGCTACTGATGATGAAATTCAGGCTTTGTATGACCCTTTTGGTGGAGATTTTCAAGTTCCTGACAACTTTGAACGTACTGCTGCAATTTACAAACCGAATGAAACTGATCATATGAATACAAAGACTACGTCTACGCCAATTAGTTTGGTTCAACAAGCAAATGCTTTAAATAAAGAACAACTTTTTTCAAATCCACAAACAGAACTTATTTGTGCTATGCTTGATTTAATAAACCCTAATGCACTCTTTCTTGGCAAACAATCATACAGTTTGCTAGAATTATCAGCACAGTTACAATCTAAGAAGGATGAAGAGGAGGATGACGATGAAGTTGAGGAAAATCCAGAAGAAAATATTTGTGAAGATGATGTGAAAAATGACGAAAATCAACTTGATGTTAATGAATATCCACTAGATGTAAACACTAGCTGGATCACTTCAGACTCATTCGTCAAAGAGAGTTTTACAGAGTATGATCCGATGAATAGCACTTTTGTATCAAATACTAACCAATCTAGTCATAATCCACTTAGCAATACAAATCTTTATGATAGTGTTGTAAGTCAAAATCCTGAAGAATTGGTATTAGATGATATTGAAGATAATGATGATGAGTTTCCCAATGAGTCTCACTCTTTAAATGTCTCTCAATACAACGCTAGTTATTCTCAGTTCACAGATTTAAATAAATCAGAGCAAGTGTACATTCCGCAACTTTTGCCTGATTCCTAATTATTTAATCGACAAAATACGTTATTTTATTTTTAAATTACATACAGGGTGTTTCTTTTAATTTTTCCGAAAAGTAATTTCATAATTTATGGGAGATCCAACTTGTAAATGTCTTTTAGTCCCTAAATGTAACAGTTTTGTATACCTTAAAGCTAAAATCTCAATCATATTCATTGTCGTATGTTGTAAATGGTGCAAATATGTTTTGAACAGAAACTTTGTTGTGTTATTCTTGGGAGTATACTATTCACGGTTTTCAGGAACAGTGTTGCATTGCATTTTTGAAATTCAGCGTCATTAGTAGGATTTGCATTGATCTTTTATTCTCTCTTTGCTAGGAAAAGTTACAAGTGTAACATAAGTTTGTTCACAGGACATGGTGCGTGATATCCAGCAGATATGCAGTAGTTACTTTATGTTTTCAGTATTGGTGTATTTGAAAAAATAGAATTTAAAAACTTCCGCTAGTTATTTCAAATATGAAAACACAAACAGATTTGTCGGAAACGGGACAACACAACTGTCCTAAAACTTTCTATAATTACCTAGTTGTTCACAAGTAAGCAATGTTTTATCAAGTTAGACCAATACAAGACCAGTCGGAATTTGCAATCTGTTCGTAGCTATGTAATTATGGTTGGATTGTAGAATTACTTATTTCACTTAAGTTGAACTCTGAATAAGTTTTAAGCAACTGTAACGGGATATTTCGTAACAGCAATGTGCAAACAGCCAGTTACCTAACCCACCAGCTTGATTAGTGACTTCATATTTGGTGGATGGTAGATGTTGATAACATTCTCGTTACTAAGTTGCTGAATGCATTTAAACAGCTTTACTGTTTAATACGTCGTACTACAGCACTTCTCTTGATCGATGTTGTGTATGGTATTCTTCTAGTCAAAAATCTCACCTTTTCTTATTCTCACTAGCTTAGAAATCATATTTTGATTATTGTTGTATATTTTTGTTCATAATAAATCTTCTTTTCTTCAAGATTCTATGATGTATTGCAGTATCACAACGTATAGGCGACATGACGGATGTTTTTGAAATATTTTTCTCTTGAGGCACACGAGACTAGTCACGCTATGCCAGATCCAGGATTCACGACCCAGAACAGTGAACCAGTCTAACACTAGATAATACTTTATTCAACACAGTTACAAGCAGTCACTTTCGGTGAGCCCAGAGTGGAAGTCAATAGGAAAAAAGGGAATCACATTTAATAGTCAGTGGGTTAAGTGCCTATTTGTCTACATTCAATGACCAATTATCTTTTATTCTCAATACCGCATTTCATCTCTAAGTGTGCAGGTAGCTTTTTGCCCCACATTCATTTGGAAAAACTGATCAGCATCATCACACTGAATCTCTTCCCCCTTTAAGTTGCATGCATATAACTCCTCCCCCATGAAACAGGTCAACTGTTTAGCCTTAAATAGGTCAATCTGTCTAGGGAACTTACTCATCACAAATAAAACGTTACATTATCCAAACGTTACTAATGCAGAATTTCATACCTATTATTATACGTGATCTTTTTTATGCTATATGTGATATGCATTTAGTAGGAAGGTTACTATATAGCTATTTTTATCGAGTGACCACTTAATAAATTGAGTGGAAAAAAACTCCGCTTGTAGGGCTACTGCCAGTCCCAAGTCCGTATACAATAGGGGGGTTGGGCATCGAGTAAGCAGCCACATCCCGTATACAACAACATTGCTAAAAACACGCTAACCAGAATGAACAAATTAAAACATTTAAACTCTGTCCTCCGAGTTGAAGGATCTTCATTCAGAAGGATCATGACGCCTTATGATGAAAGCCGAGATTCTTCGGAAGTCACGAGGCCGACGCAACTTCGAACGACCAGAGAAACAATTATCATAGGTACATGGAATATTCGGACAATGTGTGAGATCGTGAAAACCAGTAAAATAGCTACGGAAATGGGCAGATACAACTTGGCAGTTCTAGTAATCAGTGAAACCCATTCGACTCAAGTTGAGTAGAAAAGATGAGATTTGGGAAACATGCTGATGTACTCGGGTCACAAAGGAGAGTGTCTTGCACACACAAGGAGTTGGACTGATGCCGTTCAATGAACCACGTAAAGTACTTATAGGATGGGAATCACATAGACCCAGGATCATCAAAGCATCATTCAAAACAAAGAAGAAAGTAATCACGATGAATGTTTTCAAATGTTATGCACACACCAATGACAGTAACGACGACGACGATGAAGATCAGTTCTACGAGATGCCACAATCCATTCTAGCAAAGTGCTCGAGAAACGACCTGACCATCCTGATGGGAGATCTAAACGCCAAAGTTGGAATGGACAACATTGGATATGAAGATATAATGAGGCGAAATGGACTGAATGGGATAAAATAACGAGAATGGAGATAGATTTACAGGAGGCACAATATTCCCACACGAACACATAAACAAAGCTACATGGGTCTCCCCGACTATTCTACAAAGAACCAGATCGGTCATAGTTGTATCACTAAAGAATCCAGAAGGACAATTGAAGACGTGAGAATCATGAGAGGAGTTGACATAGCTTCATATCATAACCAGCTGATGATTGTCATGTTGAAACTGAATCTGAAGAAGTACTGGACAACTGGGGAGACAGCATTACAAAGGAAAGCAACAGGTTCAGACGTCATATCAGCTGGTGCACTGAAGTTAGACACAAAAGTAACTGCGAACATGCTTCACATTCTATTCAGGAAGATATACGAGATTCCTAATAAGTGTATAATCGTACGTTTAATTAGCGGATAAGTTCGAATGTAAATCGTTAGAATTTAATCGAACAAGTAACATCTTCGGTTTGAGAGCCGCATATTCCAGCGGTACATGAATATTGTTCAGTCATTATCAATTTGTTGAGTATTTTAGACCGACAAGTAATCGAGAAAGCACAACATCACGAGTCTTATCTCGGCATATTTTATTGAAAATAGATGTGAAGGATAAGATATGGTCCCTCTACAATTTAAAAGATTTAAACATAACCTTACTTTGCTTTTAGAAATACCACATAATAAAACTACAGCACATTGCAGTACCTTGAAATTTGTCAAAAAACAGTAGTTGTGATCTTCGTAATCGGGACATATTGCTGAAGATATCAAAAACATCATAAAAATGATAGTCACCTTTCTTTGTTACGCGTTATTCGAGCATCTGGAATAGATAACCAAGGACACTCGGTGAAGTAAAACTTTCGCAATTCGCATTTTCCCTAGACTGTTTTATGAACCAATACACAGCTCATTACAGCCCCGTTCAACAATAAGGCACTGAACATCTAATTAATATCCAAATAATCACCTCATAGCTATATTATGCACTATAAAATATTCTTTCCTCTTCTAGTCTCCGTCGCTAACATTCTAAGTTTTTTATACACTATACATCTTTCCATAACCATACCCAGACAATAGATAGAGTTTTGGGTCTGCACTTGAATTCCATTTGCTGCTGAATCATCAATGGTACCACATATATTATTAATTCTTCACACAGTGCCTAAAAAACAGTGCAACTCTGAACTCTTCTGCCTGTTTGCTTATTTCTATTAACGCATATTTCGTCTGGAAATTCACACTTGGTTCTATGGTGATATACAATATTGATTCAGTGTCCATCAACTTTAAGTCTTAGATGTACCTATACACGATGGTGGCTTTTAATAAGGTGAGATGTATATTCACAGTCTTGCTACCGCTTTGAACCCAGAATCGAAAAAGTGAGGAGGGTCGAGGAGAATTTTAACCAGAGTCATATATTAAAGGTTTAGACTAGGAAAAGTGCTAAAGATGAAGATAAGGATACACAATCCTTGAATAAAGGTTATCATATACAAAAAAAGTAGGCAGAAATTAAAAAAATAAAAGTACTGCCATGTATGAAATGTTTGAGGAATTTTCAGAGCATTTATTCTTTAACAATTTGCTGCACTTCATTGATTACGGAATCATTCCAAATCATACTGTTCTCTGTCATTCTGGAGTAACACTTTGTTAAGTACTGAAGTTACTTGAGTCTTGACTGCCCTTTTACCTATCGTTATGACCCTCTAACAAGTGCAAATTTCTAACTAGAAACCCACATTCTTCACATATATTTACTGCGGATCCATACTCTAGGTGTAGACATCGTGTACTGATCCAAGTCGCTTGACTTACCAGCAATAAGTATAACATATGCAATTCAGATAACTGGATGTAATATTTCCGTATGCATTTTGCTGCAAATAAGGTGTTCCTCCATTGTGAACACTTCTTCCACAATCACTGGGCTCGGACCTTCGGTGTGTTACGGTATCCGAAAACTTCCCACTGAGTAGCCCTAACAAAGGAGATTTATTCGTTCAGCAGCTTTCTAACTTTCGTTTCCAATTTTAAACTGAGGATATCTTATCGGTTGTTGGTTTAAATGCCTGACAAATATTATTACCCCTTCAAGAACGTTTAGGGACTTGAACAAGTAAACAGTGACGATGAGTGTGACTACTTCAACCCACCCATGTAAGTGGACAGAACATTTATTTTGCCTCAGTCTGTTTATGATTGGTGACGAAGTAACAATACGATTATATTAAGGTTGTTTCTCTATCTGTGTTGCTGCTTAGACCTAATTTTCGACTTCACATTGGTTTCATCATTCTACCAAATCTATCTAAAATGGATAGATTCAGAGTCTTAATCTAAGACTAAAAGGTTGACGTCCAATAACGACAATAAACAAGGACAGAAGGTGAGAAAAAGCTTTAGTGATAAAGTTATTTTGTTACTCTCCAAAATTATTAAATACTTCTGCAACTTTACTAAGTTGTATCTCCTCATTCCCGTTGCTACTTGGCTGGTCTTCCCGGTCTCCCACATTGTTCGAACGTTCCATGTACCTATAAAAATTTTTGCTCTGGTTGTTAGAAGGGGCATCGGCCTCGTGGCTTCCGAAGGAACTCGGCTTTCACCATGAAGCGTCATAATTCTTCTAAATGAAGACCTAACTCTCAGGGCAGAGTTAAAATGGTTTGAATAATTTTTTAGCGAGTTAGTTTTCTACGGGATGCGGACGCTAACCCCATGCCCAACCCTCCTCCTTTACCCGGGCATGGGACCGGCAGTAACTCTAGAAGAGCTACAGGCGGAGTTAGAATACTTCGAGGAACTTCTAAATAGGCCGGCTCCAATGAATCCACTGGAATTCGAAGCAGCACACACAGATCTTCTTATAGATGTCAATCCACCAATGACGGAAGAAATCAGAATGGCCGTCAGACAAATCAAGAACGGGAAAGCAGCAGGACCCGACAACATACCAGCTGAAGCACTGAAATCAGACATCGAAGCAACCACAAGCATGTTTTATC